GTTAATGAACAATTAACGACGCTTCTAGATCAGAAGAGAAGGAGGCCTTTTTTTTAAAACTTCATATATTAGATTGTTGTAAAACCAAAAAATGGTTAACCAAAATTGATCATGAACTTGCATTTTAAACATTTGATAATATTCGAAAATTATCAAAATCTGAGTATAATATGTTTATTTTAGGAATGCTTCATATAATAGCCCACGGTAAAGAAACACAATATTTAACTATTAAATATACTTTTAATAATTGTGAAATTTGCGAGAAAGCTTTTTAGACTATATATTCATTATCAGCTAAAAAATGAAAAAGCATTCATAGTTATTACCAGGTTAATGGTATTAAACCCATTGTACATGCACTTTCAGGAAGAAGATCTTACCGTGCTTTGTCATTTTCAACTATTTTAAATGCTCTTACATTTATTATCAATTATGCAAATTTCAATGGGTTGCCATCATCGGGTAAATTGATATTTATAACAATAAGTTATCGTATAGTGCTTAAAAAAAATATCAGTAAATCTTAAAGACATTTGATTCATTAATTAATACTATCATGTCATTTTTTTTGTCCCATACAATAATGTTATTATCATCTGGTAGTTGTTACTATCTGATCATATTAAATAAGTACCATATAGTATGGACTAAAGTACCCAGAGTACTTTACAATTTAAGCAGTATATATGGGTATTATAGTCGGAGGGATACTATGGTCAGCATAGAGGGTATAAGTTGTACTATAGCCGTGATAATGTTTTATATATTTTAAGTGGTTAATTCATCTTTAGTGCCTAGGTATTTTACATTTCCAAGTGCAATTAATCTGTCTTTAGTACCCGGGGTACTTTATATTCTAGGCTTCTAAAAATCGAAAGAGGAATTATAAAAGGGGTCTTTTAGTCTATGCTGTACAGTAATGTGGCTCTAAAAGTTTTGTTTTATCTTTATATTAGAATTTTTTTAGTGCTATTAGTTATTTATAGTAGTAACAACTTGGCCGTACAATAAATTGATAATATATGATATATCAATTTTTTCTGTAAATAAAAGACTTATTTAATAAAATGTACCTGTATAATAAAAAATTTTATTAGGTCATCACTTTCGAGAAGATACTATGCCTATTACATATCTTTCTGCAAGTGAAAGTTATGTTAGATTATATCATATTTATCAATTAAGTTTAGACGAAACTTCTGATTTCAATATCAGTCGATGGTCTTTTGTGCAAATTTGGAAAAAGTACATACCAGAAATTTAATTTTTATCACCTCGAAATGATCTATGTATGCTTTGTAAAAACATGCGGTTTAATGCTCAATTCTGGACGGAAAGTAAATGAGATCAAAATGTTCAACAATGGAATAGCCATATTAATTTGACATATCAAGAAAGAGAGTACTATAAGTAAGAGAACTTGTAATTAGAAATTGGGCTCGGGTAGGGATCGTTATATAATTATTTAAAATATAATGTTGGGAATGATTCTGAAATTTTGGAATTAGAGATTAAGATTAGTATTTATAGAGTATAGGTAGATTTTTGTAAAGGTTATATTGTTTAAATCGAGACCCCAAAATTTTAGCATCATCCAATTTTAGCATCAACCTGACATATATCTAGACAACCTAAGTTTAATACTATATATATTTGGGTGAAGAATTTCTCAGCGAGCCCAATTTATAATTGTAATAATAGACTTCTTTTTATAGCAATTATAATACTTTATTTTATCTGAACTAAAATTTTAGGCATTGTATTCTTAATACAAAACAATAATTAAAATTTTTTAATAATCCATCTGCACTTTCACGCCCGGGAATACCAAGTTCTCTTGATTTTGAAAATCATCTTTTGTGGGACTTCGCTGAAGCCGTCTATCTTCTGTTCTTTTCACAACAAGAGGTAATAATTCTATTGTCATAAAATATATACTAAGTGGTTTCAATAAAGTTGATATCAAAATTAGATTCCTACAATTTGATAATGCTAATTATGGCGGTTTGCAGAAATTGATCTCTGCAGATTTTTTAATTTCAATAAATATGTTACTAATTGAAAACTATAATTTATAATCGATATTAATTTAATATCTAGTTCGGGAATATTAAAAAAGATCAAACACTTATTTAATTGTTTTTATTAAGGATAAAGATGAATGACAAAATAAGTATGACTTTATTTAGTTATTAAAAACTTGACTTTTTTTTTTTTACATACTTATTTATACGTACCTTCGCATTGCATAATAATTACTGCAATTTTTAATAATTATTGCATAATTTATACATTACTCTTTAATTACTAATTTCAAACATCCTATTACATCAATCAACTGTCACTCTTCTGACAATATCTCGAAGGTTCTCCTCCGCAAACCACCATAAAATTTGACAATAGAAGTATTATCATTATAATCACATTCACTGGATAGAAATTAAAGTGTTGAATATTATTTGACCATTATCATGTGTGATTACGACTTTTATATCCGTAAAATCACATGATAATCCCAAAGTGTTTTACATATTGGATTTTAAATTTTAGCATAAAAATATTATGCCAAAAATTTATATTAATTTTTTTTCTTTTTTTGAGGGGTCTATTTATTTTAAATCATTGTATAAAGTTTCAATCTTCGGGATATATGAGGATGCTTTTCCATTGCAGGTATTTATCATTATGATTTGAACTAGAGTTAGTTAATATCTGAATCCAGATCCTAATTACAAGATACAGATCTAGTTATAAGATCCAGATCTTATTATTAGGATCCAGATCTTGTGATCAGGATCCAGATCCAGGTATTAACTCTAATTTGAACTGGTTTATTAAAAATCTATTAAGTAAATTTATATTTTAGAAAAATTACTTAATTAAAGAAAGTGAGGATATTAGAAAGGGTGCTAATGTTGTTGTCTCAATGATTCACCACTATTTTGAAAATCACGGCCATGGGAAAAAGTATCTTGTTATCCATGCTGATAATTGCCCGGGACAAAACAAAAATAATACAATGATAAAATATTTAATGTGATGTGTTTTAAATGGCTTGCATAAACAAATTATATACTCATTCATGGTAGTTGGATATACAAAATTCTCTCCAGATAGATTTTTTGGGCTCATTAAATTAAAACTTCAGCATTCTGAAGTAGATAACTTGGCAGATATGGTTTGGGTTGTTCAAGACTCTACGGTTGGTAGTTATAATACAGCACAAACAGTTTATGATTCAAATAGTGTTCAACAAGTTAAATTTTATAAATGAGATGAATTATTAAATGAATTATTCACAAATGTTCCACAAATTTTAAAACAACACCATTTTATTATTACATCAGAAAAACCTGGAAAATTAGAAATTAAAACAGCAATCTGTAAACAAAAAACTGAAATCACATTACTAAAACAAAATAAAATAGATTTATTCCCTTCATCAAATCTTCCTGCTCCTCTTATAGCAAAATCATTAACCCCGGCACGACAATGGTATCTATACGAACAAATTCGCGATCATATTCATGATTCTACAAAAAAAGATGAATTTTGTCCGTTGCCATCTGTACCTCACTCTAAGACCAAATAAATTTAAAAAATTATTTTTGAATAAAAAAAAATTTTTTTAAAAAAAAAATTTAAGCTTTTATTTCTTTATAACATAGGTTCGAATATTTTATTAGTTTTTCTTTTTTTTTACTTCAACTCTTTGAAAAAATTGTTAGCAGTTGTATGTATAAATAACAGAAAATAAAAAATGTATAATGGATCATCTATTAAGTAAACATGATGGTTTTAATACTTTTAAATTAATTAAGTGTTGAAAACTTGAATGTTCAACGGATAACATAACCATGCACATGAAAGCTAATACCCTGTCTCTTCAAAATATCAAAATGAAGCAACTAATCAAGAAATTGATCAAGGTATAAGAAGTGATAATTATACTGTAATAGAAAAGAGCTTTCTGGCCATTTTTCGATATAGTTAGGTTAGATACATTGTGAAAGAGTAAAAAACCATCTTCTTTTGTATTCCTGTGATAGTGCCTGAAAGAGAAAGATCTAGTGTAACTCATCCTTATATAGTAAAATCTGAGCCTTGGTATCGTCTCCACAAGATCCAAGCCTTTCTCGTCTCGACTATAGATGCTGGTGAAACTGGTTAAACTGGTGAAACTCTTGATGAATAGTGGTAAAATTGGTGAAACTGGTGAAATTTAATATAATAGCCAATCAGATTTTAGATGGTCACCAGTTTCACCAACATTATTTAGTTTCACTAGCATCTATAGTCTCAACATTGTTTCATTGTAGATTATAGAGATTAAAGATTATAGTGATAGTAATGTTAGTATACACAACCTGTAAGTCACCACTAGGGTTCTGCAAGTAAACATGCTGGGTACAATTGGCGTTATGCCAAGCACTGTTGGCACTGTAATTATTTTTATTGTGCCTTGAATTTTTGCTAGTGCTAGTACCGATATCACAATGTTTTTCAATATACTAGTCTATATTATGTATTACAGTATATGATTTTTTCACTTCACAACTAGGTTCATTAATCGAATAATGATAGTAAAAAAAGCGATATGTGATATTGTTAAATACTATTTGTTGTGTATATTTTATGTCTGGTATGTTGGGCACTAATATTGGTGCTAATACTAGTGCCGATGCCTATATAAGTGCCTGTTTATATCATAAATTTTAAATCAAGTTATGCCCGTATCTTAAACATTTTTTTTGTACCAGTATATGCTAGGTTTGCAGAACCCTAGTTACCACCTTTTTAACATAAAAAAATTACTAAATTTATACTTAGTATAAAAATAAATAAATAAGTTTTTTTTTTAATTCATGTATTATTATTTGCAAAACTGATTAGAAATAATGAGCTATGTGTACCGATTTAAAATTTAAAAGTAACATTCTATTGTCATATTTAATATATTTTAGCCAATCATATTTTTGCGAATTTTATCCCTTTTCTCAGCACTTATCAGAAATTTTTAGATTATACGGCCTATTTTCTGATGCCTAAATTAGTTCAGATGCATGTTGATCATTGTTGTGTTCAAAACACAAATCACAGTTTATCTCGTGATTTGGTAAATCCTAATTTGGTCCCTTTTCTCAGCACCTAGCCCATATGATAAAATTTTAGATGTGACAAATCGTGTGACTGTTATGTAATATTTTATGATCAGTGTTAAATTTATGCGATATCAGTGATTTTATTTAACGAAGCATCAAAATAATTAAATAATTTGAGCATAATATTCGAAGCAATAAGAAATAAACTACATTTTTTATAGTTTAACTGCACTATAAAAATATAATTCTTTGCAAGAAACAGTAGCTCTTATAGAATAAAAATTAAAAAGATTTGATGCCTGTGCTTTAGCATGATATAATGATAATGGCAACATATTTGTGACAAAATACAATAAAATCGACTTTGTAGTATATAAATACTGTAATTTACGTATAATGACTTTGAAAATGATATGGGAATAGCATTAGCAAGTGCCCTTCACGTGAAATGCAATTTAGAGGTAATTTTGGTTTGGAAGTGTAAAAACTGTTAAAAGAAATAATTCAAAAAAAAGTGATGGTAGAAGATTGGATTCTGATGATAATGATATAGCATCAGGGAAACCGAAACCATTTGTTAATTGCAGTTAGTTTTTTTTTTTACTAGAAAGGGATCTAGCATTACATAATTTTATAATTTTTGATTCTTCGTTGTAATGAGAAATTTTATTTTTGTTAATAGTTAGTGAATTAAAATTAAATAATAAATCATTAGTTTTATTTGGCTTCTTCTTCAATTAGTTAATATTTATGGTGAAAAAAACTCCAATGAAAAATTTTTGATTTACGTGTACAATTGATTTACAATTTCAGGATTAGAACCGCCTAAAAGTTTCTTTGCTTAATTTTTAACTATATTAACCGTTTAATTCAGCTAGTATTAAAATTGACTTGGCCCTATCTACCTCATAGGAAGACATTCATATAATTGGTTAATTTTTATAGAACTACATGTGATTTCCTGTTAGCAACAAAAATTATAATGTATAATGTGAGGAGTTTACTGTCAAAGAGTATTTTATAATGATTTATATGATGATTCATGGTAATCCTATCATTTTATTTACAATTCTTTTAAAAATAATTGATATCACTATGGATGTTATTTTGAGATAAATATAAAAGTAAACAAACAAAAAATACCTCAGAACTGGATTTAGTACTAAGTAAACCTTCCTTTAAGCTTAACAAAAGTTGTTCTTTAGAACAACTTTTGTTAAGCTCAAAGGAAGGTTTACTTAGTACTAAATCCAGTTCCGAGGTATTTTTTTAAATCTTATAGTAATATAAGTATGGATGATGTATGCATCGTGTAAAATAACAAGCATGAATGACAAAAGTGATTTATAACATAAATAGTGTAATACTCATGATCAATAGTGGCCATACTATAAATTCTAATAAATAAATTACTTTTAGAATAATAGTTACTAGTTACGTATACAATTTATACAGTATAGTTTTCCCGTTCTAACAAGATCTGCAATATACAATACTAATAAGTTATTGCATGTGAAGCATGCAATAAGTGGATTATTTTATGGATGATCTTAATTGATCAATGATCCGGCCGGTACGGCCGGATTTTTGGACAATTAGGATCAAACATAAAATACGTCAAGTATTAGAAATTTAAAATCTTAATGTGCACTTTGGAACCCTAAAGGGGTTCCAAAAGCACAAATTAAGATTTTAGACTTCTGATACGGCACTTATTGCATGCGTAGCATTGTAATAATAGATTTATTTATTTTTTTACAACGATGAGCAATCATAAAGAAAATAAGTTGTTTTGTAGCTTTATCTGTATTTTATAATACATCACAACTATATTTTATAATAGCAATACATTCTTTAGCCATAATTAATAGCTTTGGATTCGAAGTATCCAATAGCTATTAATTATGGCTAAGAAATGGATTGCTATCATAAAATACAGTTGTAACGTATCATAAAATACAGATGATCACTATAAAATAACTTATTTATTTATGATGCTAATCATAGTAAAAAAAAAAATAATATATGACATTGATAAATTTGACAAATCATCAATAAGATGTGATTAACCAATCATGAAAAAAGACCCAAAGATCAGGAGAATCTTAGTTATGAATTATGTCATTTGTACTGACATTTGTATTAGCGTTAGGAATCTATAAATTTGACTAAATCAAGTTGGTATATTTTGTAAGTGAATAATTAACCAATTTTTTAAGATAAATCAATTTTTTTTCTTTATTTCGTATATATGAGACAGCTATTACAACGAGCTTTGGTTAGCACAGCAGTATATATAGAGATCTATAACTAGCAAGAGTTTATAACAATACTAGTAGTTCACATTTCTAAGTTTATGAAATCATTATCAAAAAAATAATAGCAAATTATAAACCAATCTTATAAAGTTGCTTTGTTTTGTTATAATTGTTTACAACGTTGAAAATTTCAGCATTTTTTTCATATTCTTTGACTTCATTAACTAGACATTTATGTTCCAAACGTAAATTATGACTAAATTCTTTAGCGTTAACTAAAAAAAAAGCAATTAGAACGCTTATTAACTACGAAAATTTCAAATATTACTATTAATTGAATATTACCTTGATGTAAATTAAAATTTAATTTTGAGTCATTTTTTCAAAATTTAAGCCCAATTGCCATGCTAACGGACTTATAATTATTAATATCATTTTTCACATGATTAATTTCTTCTACTAGTGTATGATTTTTTTGAAAAATATTTCCTTTAAAATCCGCTAATATGTGAACATAATTTATTATTAGACAAATTGATTCATAACTTTATTATAATTATTCAGTGACCAATATTTTTATCTATTTTCTTTATATAAAGAGCCTTGCTTTCCTGTTGAACAAAGTTAACCTTATGAACGACATGCTTCAAGCTGCTCATATTATTGCTTCGGTCAGTTTTACCATTATTCTTTCCACAAAAAGCCTTAAATTTCTTTGGGTCGTTCAGATAATTTTTTTGAGTAAACTTTCTCATACGAGTACTTAATTGGCTTTCCTGTTGAACAATGTTAACCTTATTTCTGTCATTCGCTTTAAAAGATTCGCAGATTATAAATGCTATGAATTTGTATTTCGATAATGCCATGTTAATTGAAACTTTCTTATCTTGGCACTGAACAGTATTTTCTAAAACTATAATATACGCGTTTTTTCTGAAAAATCAATAACAAGGTATTCAAAAAAGGATCTGTCTTGCCATAAACAAAAAGAATAAGTGAGAATGAGTGAGTCAATTTATCAGATTTCAGTTCAATGAATTCTCAGCTTTTTCAAATCATTTACATGTTAATATTGATCGACTTTATCATGTCTTGTTTACACCATATTACTCGTTTTTGTCACCAATTTGCTCCAAATCAAGAGGAGCACTATCTTGAAACACTTTTAGAAACTACTGAAAGTAGTACGTCTTTAGAGACTGCTCCCGATAGACCTCCTACATATGAGAAGGCTACTCGCTCAGGTATTAAATAGCTCACAAATAATATTAGAAACTCATCTTTCAAGATTTAAAATCCTAATTAACATAATAACAAAATGTCTACCCAAAACAATACTACTTTTGCTACTGAAACTCTTGTCTATGAAGAGTTTCAATCACAAGAACATATCTCACGTAATTTACGTGAAGAAATCACTCAAGAAAT